TCCACATGCTCGTGTGGTAGGCCACCTATGATCTTGTCATGGACGACTAACATCATACACTGATGTCAGCGTGATCAAGTAGTTCTGTACACCACTGCTACCATATTCGTTTCTTAGTTGGGTCATGACCGCCTGCAAGTCAGCCATCATTCTTTCTTGGACTACATGTTGATCGGTGTTTAGTGTTTACCTTCACTACCTTAACATCTCATGGTAGGCCACCTATGATCTCGTCATGAACATGGGCGACTACCATCATACACTAATGAACACTAATGACAGCGTGATCAAGTAGTTTCCGCACACCACTGCTACCTTCATTCGTTTCTTCGTCAGACCATGACCACCTGCAAGTCAGCCATCATTCTTTCTAGGACTACATGTTGATGGGTGTTTAGTGTCTACCTTCACTACCCCAACATCAGCACTCACTTCATGTGGAGAGTCATCCTGGAATGGACATCTAGGTATACCTAGCGACTATCAAGTTCATCGTTATATGGACCCGTTCAAGTTCCGACACCTGTGATGGGCTGACTTTGACAGACAAGGATTGGAGATCTATGACAGTGCTTCTCAGTCGCTCATCAGCATTGGTATTTGGTTCTAATGGGCATGCATTCTTAGATGCCAGTCGATGGCACAATGACATGCCATCTGGTAAAGCGGGCTGGAGTGTTATGACTCAATAGTGTCAGCCAGCCAATCCACCGTCTAGACAGATATCGGCAACTAGGAACCAAATAGTGTTAGTTGATAGTATAATTGTGTTAGGGAGAGAACTGCCATATCAGGCAAAGATACTAGTCCAATTTGAATAAATAGGGACCGGTTTGTTAGGAAGGAGATATGTTTCTTGGTGGCCAAGTCTGTTACATGACCTAAGTTTTGTAAGCTTTGGAACCACTAGTCCTGACAGAGATGAGCCCTGTTGCTGCTTGTTGAGGGTGAGTGCCCTATCCCCACTGCTCGGACCCTTTGCCAAGTTATCCCATCGTGCTCCTTGTCTACATGGTCACTGTGCCATGAATAACCTGATTGGGCTAATTAATCTTCTGACTCAGCATTAACTGCCCAAGTAGATGGCCACAGTTAACAACAAACCAGGTTGGTATTGTGCCAAGGGTTAAATTTTAGTTGTTCATTTCACTCTCAGGGTAGTTCAGGGGCTACCGTGGGCATTTTCAGTTGTAAAAGTGGATAGGATGTAAGATCTCTAGCAGACCCTTTATATCACGGACCCTTATAGCGCGTTTACAGTTCGCGGTTGTCTTCGGATACGGGCCGAAAACAGCCGTGACAGAACAGCAACCGAATATGAACCCGCAAAATTTGAAATCACACATTCGCGCGAGAAATTGAACTAGTTCAGTAGAACTACTAGCACTTGATCATCTTAAAAAGTCATACAAAGTAGAATTTTTACAACTAATATTTGAAGGAGCAGGCACCACCGTAACCCTAATTACAAAATTGTGCTCATCGGAGCCGGGGCGATTGCGGCGGCGACGCTGCGGCGGCGGAGGAGCTCAGTCCTCGTCGTTGGAGACGAGGTCGACGTAGACCTCGTCCTGCTTCGTTTTTACGAGGCGCCACTCTTCCATGTTGGCTGCAAACTCCTGCGCCGCCGCCATCCCCTGCTTGAGGAAGATTTTGTTGATGTCAGCGTCCCGTCGACGGCGCTGCTCCGCCTTCTCCTGCGCAGAGCGCGCGACGATGGCGGCTTCCATGACGTCCGCCTCTGCCGGGGGAGGTAATCCTCCGGCCCGAAGACGCCCCGCCACTTCGGCGGGCCCCGCCACTTCGGCTCCGCCTCTGGCCCCCTCTTCACCGCGCGGAGCAGCGGGAGCTCCTCCGGCTCTCTTTTGACCGGCATGAGTGGCGTCCGTGAGCTCAAGGCACCGGCAGAGGAGCTGCCCATGGCAGAGGAGCCGGAGGACAGCCCGCGGCTGAGGAGCGCCTACTTGCGGTTGTACTCCTCCGTCTCGCGGCGGAGGAGCGACGGCGGCGGCGAGAGCCCGTTGTTTGTGTACCTACGGGCAGCCCTTTTCCTCGCGGCGTCGGAGGCGTCGCACCGCCTCCGCTCGGGGTCGTCGCCATAGCCGGCGCCGTGGCCCGCCGACCACATTCCGCACCACTTCGAGAGGGGAGAGGGGGAATTTAAGTCGCCGGCGGTGAGAAATCGAGAAGGGGGATTGGGAATTGCGGCGGCGCGCGGATAGGGTTTCGACCCGTATTTCAGCTGCAAACCCTTACATGCGCGGGAGGGGAGTGGGGTTGCGAGCCACTGTAAAAAAACTTACGGGCCGGGCGACTGTACGAGCTCTGGTCTGGCCCAAAAAATGGGCCAAACCCGTATAGTCGCCGGATTTTTACGGGGTGCCCCGTTTTAAGGGGTCTGCTAGAGATGCTCCAAGGGGATGTCCTGGAATAGCCCTTTCACATAAAATTTGGTTCTACAGAGAATGGCGTTTCAGTGCTCAGGACTATCTGAACCCGAAATCCCTGGCATTCATGAAAGTCAGTCGACGTGACAGCTGCCTGTGCGAGATAATGGGGCAGGTGGAGGAAATATGGGGTGGAGCAGTCTCGTACATAGGCGTTCGGTGGGCCAGCACCGTGAGTTTTCGTACTGGATGAGGAGATCCAGTCACGGTGACAATCCGAGCTGTGGCTCACATTGCAGGCTCATAGCTGTCCCTGGAGTCGGGGTGTTAGTAACTTTGGGCTGCAACAGGACCGTGGCTCAGAAAATGATACTCACGATTACATCGTTGACAAGCTTTTTTTCTTTTGAATACAAAGCTGACAAGCTGACCGTGCCATTACAAGGGTAAGTTGTTCTAAAAAGAAATTTTACAAGGGTAAGTGATTACAGGGGCGAACACGAGCAGGCAAATTAATCTGACCAATCTGCTAGAACGTCCTTATAGGTCCATTAGTGCACACATAAGTTTCATGGAGTGACTCAACTACGAGCTATTAACCCCTAAGGAATAGCGCACGCTATGAGCAAGCTGACAGTACTTGGGCGGAGCTAGTGCGCAGTCGCCGTGCGCGTCAGCAACCTTGGGTGTCACCGGCTGGCTGCTGGATGCACCATGCGTGCGCTGCTGGTGTGCATTAGGACATAGGAGCATTCGCCGTTGCATTGCGCGGGGTGGGCTGGACGGCGGTCGGTCCGTGGTCCTGACGCACAGCCACTGGAACTGGGTGTGGGCGCCAGGGCTGCAGGAGCAAGGGCAGCCATCGGCAGCTGTCCGAGCTGATGGGCATACTTGTCCTGGAATTCAAATAAGGGGCACAAGCCATCCTAGAAACAAAAATACCAAGCAAAAGACAATGGGTTGCGTGAGTTCACAACCATCAAATGGGCACTACAGCTTGTGGATTTACAGGGTGCGAAGACTTGCATTGTCATTCACACTTGTAGAATCTGGATCAAGGATTCTGTCCTTTGTGGGCGATAGATGTCACCAAACATTTGCTGCAGAAGAGGCAAGGGATGAGGGGGAGAAGCTCCTGCTGCTCGGCGGAGTAGGATGAAGCACTGGAGGCGGACATGGCTCTCGATTTGGTGGCAGCGGCCAGATTGTTTTCGACTGAGTGAAAAAAGGTGGGAGTGAAAGTGGCAGAGGGGTTCACGTGTTTCTTATCCAGTGACGGGTTGGTGGCTGTTATTAGCTGGGGCCATCACAGACGCGGAATAGGCCGTCCACAGAACTGCTGTACCTAGATGTTCGAGACGTTGGGGACGGCAGTTAATGCATGGGGTCCGGTTGAAATGCGCTGAAGATACAACTGACGCGTACAGGGAGAAATACACAGTGCAGTGATCCGGAGGAGGAGGGGCAATTTAGATATCAGATCCATCTGAGCTCGGGCTCAGAAACGAATTTTCGGGTTCTATATTCCTTTTGCTTTCCGACAAAAGCATGACTTTTGGAAAATGTGAATATATGTTAGTTATGTGAATAAATGATTTGGCGTGTTGCATTGCCTGGCCTGATATATTAAAATGGCAACATGTTGCTTAATTTGTCAGTCAACTTAGAAAAGGCATACCACATTCCTGTCAGTAACGCCTCTTAAATCGTGTTAACCATTGTTTAGAGTTAGGCGAGCAGTTTCAATCAGTAACACTTTTGAAAGGTTTTTTCCACTTAACTTCCCTATCCAAAGGTACTGATACACTCTGTTCCATTGCCGCAAAAATCAGGTTATTGCCTTACCATGTTGTTGCTGACTACGAGGCTGAAGAAGATGACAGGATCCTTGACAGCGACGCAACTGGCCAGATTCCCTCTCGTCTTCAGCAATGGGATCATAACATTCTGGTAAAAATTGCTGAGTTCACAACAACTTTTGAGAAGCAAGTGTTGGCATACAACATAATGACCAAGAAAAGGGCCATTGGTGAGTTTCGATCGGAGGAGCGACTCATGCTAGAGCAAGCTTTGTTACAGGAGGAGAAGCAGGCTTCGATGGAACTAAGAGCAGAGATAGAATCTAGGGAGAAAGCAGGCCGCGAGGCTGCTGAAGCTAAGATGCGTATGGCCATGGCTGAGCATGCTCGAGTGGAAGCTCAAGCACACCCTGAGGTGATTGGTCATGGCCCTTTGAGGGCCAATGCTGCTGCTTCCCAAGGCGATGATGGTCCTAGTCATGACATGGCACAACAACAGGTTGAAGATGGATGGGAAAACACTCAAAGGGATGATGATGATCCATCTGAGGATTTCCTCAATGATGAGAATGAGCCAGAGAATGGAAACTCTGATATGCAAGAGGAGTGGCGGCGATCGGGGGAATTTGATCTAAACTCTAGGTAAGACTGCGGCGTCGATGGTGGCAATCTGATCTGAACTCTAGGCAAGACAGGTGCACTCGACTTGAGAAAAGGCTTGAGGATGCATCGGCTGGTGCCTGGTAACTTGTCTCTAGTTATCTGATTATATATGTTTTGAAGATAACTTGTCCTGTCATTGTGGCTGTAAACACGCAATTTAAAACTAGTATTTCCTCCGACCCAAAATGTAAGACGTTTTTTGATACTATCAGTGTCAAAAAAGTCTTACATTTTGGGACGGAGGGAGTACTATTTAGCTTTTTTTTTTTGAGAAAACTAGTGCTCCCTCGGTAAACTAATATAAGAGCGCTACTCATGTGTTCAAACAGTGTTTAGAATGTTGAGTGGCCTCTGTATGTTGTAAAGCTAACTTCTAAATGGGCTTCCGCGCAAGAGAATCACGCAGTGTGGATGGCACAAATAGGTTTACCATTTTTACTAGATAACGCCTGTGCTTTCTTGCGGAAATTTTTAGCAATGACCTTATCAAAAATAAACTCGAATATATGAGTATAGTACCACACCACATTCCACCTAGAGGTAAATGAAGGGTGGCTGAATGTTATATTGTCTTGTGACACTTGAGTTCAATTATTAAATATTTATTGTTGAAAATAATAATAATAATGAGGGTTTGCATGTGATAGAAAGTGAAAAGTGTCAAAACTAATTATGTAATTAGGGGGAAAATCTCCCCTTGCCCCGAACGGCCGTACGGTTGCTCTCGCAACCAACGCCTCTCTCCTGTCTGCCTAGAACCGACGCATCCCTCCCAGGATCGTCGCGTCTCTATGGGGATATATAAGCTTTCTGTAACCATTGTCAAGGCAATTGTTCATTGTTTGATTTGGAACACGTTATCAGCCACGCTAGAACAGCCAGCGAGAGCGAGAAAGGCAACAGAGAAAGGAGAAGAGAGAGAGCACTCGCCGCTGGTGAGATGCCTGACCTTGTTTCCTTCTTTCTCCGCTTGATCCGTGAGGATGGTCGTTGCTACCGTTGTCGCTACCATGGCGTTGGTGGCCTTCGGCGCTTCTATCGCATGGTGCAGGCCATCCGTTGTTTCGGCCGTTGCGCCGCTGGTCGTTGTGGTCACCACGCCACTGGATGTGGCGCCTATGGTGGTCACCGAGTCGCTGGACGCGGCCATGGCGTCGTCGGACGCGCCGCTCTTGGTGCTTGCCACGCCCACGGGCACGGCCTTGGCGCTGCTATGCATGCGCCGTCAGTGAACAAGGGGCTCGACCCATGGCTTGTGGCCGATCCGAGCGCCCCTATGGTGCATGGCGCCGCAACCGCACCCCCCGGGTCTCCGCCTCCACCCCCTCCTCCATCGGCAGGGTGGCTCCCGCCGTCGACGCCGACACAGGATGCCGTAGCCACTGGCCCGAGCCGCCGCCCGCATGGCTATGCCGCGGTGCCGTTGCGCGCCGTGGTGAATGAGGAGGAGGCACTCGCCTTCGTCTCCGCGCCTACCGGCGTCGTCCGTCTTGGAGCCGGCATGGAGGGCACCAACACCAACGCCCTGCTTCAGGGGGAGATGGCAGCGGGCTCGAGCAGCCGTGCGGCACGGCGCTTCGGGTGTCTCTTCGGGCACGCCGTCGCCCCATCGACCGCCACCCCATCCACCGCCCCGGTTCATGGGCTCTGGCGAGCCTCGCCTCGCTAGCGCCGCGCCAGAGGGTGCTCGCCTGGACCCCGTCGTCATCGCGTCTTCTTCGGACGAGGAAGGCTCGTCGGTGCTGCGCCGGTGACCTTCGGCGCCGCGAGGGGCTGCGGCGGCCATTCCAGTCGCTGGCGCCGTCAAGAGCAGGTGGAGGGGATCGAGAGGTGGAGCGGGTCGGGGCGGATCCCTTATCCGTAACCGCCACTCCCCTCGCCTCCTCTTATTATGCGGTGGGGAGGCTGCGGGCCGGCCAAAGGCCGTGGCGCCGGCCCAGGCGTCCTGGCCTGCCCCTTCATAATTCATTTTTTTCTTTTTAGTTAAACATTAGTACTAATTATTGTATTAGTGCAGTTTTAGACTATGTTTAGTACCTAGTTTGACTGCTACTTACATTCTAGTCCAGTTCTAGATTAAATCTAGGTTAGGACTTGTGTAATTATTAGTGTGTTTATATTATGTAATGGATTTATAATATAAATAAAGTACCGAATTTCATTCGAGAAGAATGACATGTTCCATGTGTTTACCACATCTCATTTTTATTGAACATGTTTTTGCGGTTGAAATCTTCTCTCGCATATCAAACTTGCAAATTTTTGAATATTTCTCCCTCGTCTTATTTGGAATCACAAGGTAATGAGTTATGATCTACTGCACATTTGCAGACTATCCTCTCTTACTGTGAGGTCTACGCTTTGTCAATCCCGACAAGCGATTTCCTTCAACGTGTATTCCTTATATCTAAATTGTAACATACACAAGGTAATGGCCATGCAGCCTATTACTGTGAGATCTGAGTGATCTTCAAAGTGTTATGTTTACACAATTGAGGTTGAGAATTTTTCAAGTTTACACTTGAGTATCAAATTTTTGCATTCTTATTACAAAACCATGATGGTTTTTAATTTACCACCCGTAAATTAACTATCTCTGGTTTTCCCATGTAGGCAAAGATGACCGCCAAAGAGTTTGAGGAGCTTGCCCTCAATGGCCACAATTAACCTACATGGGCTATGGACATCAAGATCAGTCTTGTGTCCTATGGGATAGCGCGTGCAATACAACCCCAGAGACTCCTCTCTTGGCTGGGGCCACACCATTGATAGAACAGCAGAACTATGCTACTTTATTCACCATAAGGCACCATATTCATCCAGATCTCAAGTCTGAGTATTTACAGGAGGAATCTCCTAGTACTCTGTTTCTGGCCCTCAAAACAAGGTATGAACAACAGAAGGCAGTAGTCCTGTCAAAAGCACTCCATGATTGGACTCATCTCCGTCTTCAGGATTTCAAGTCCATCGGTGAGTACAATCATATTGTTCATAAGATATGTTCCAAACTACGCTTTTGTGAGAAGGAACCTACTGAGGGGGAGAAGATAGAGAAAACTTTGTCTACTATGCTCCCTTCAGATAGGATGCTCCAACAGCAATACCGTGCTCGTAACTACACTGCCTATTCCGAGCTTATTCACATGTTACTTCAGGCAGAAAAGCATGATGAGCTTCTCGCTAAGAATGGCTCTCAGCGCCCAGTTGGGGCACAACCTTTACCTGAAGTCCATCTAAATGTTGCAAATAGTCAAAAGTTTAATGGTACCTCTTAGGGTAAACAATCCAATTTCGAGCATAAGCAAAAGCGCAATGGGAACGGGAGATCTAGATACCCAGTCAAAGGAAAAGGCACTTCAAAGCCCAGGTTTGATAAATCCAAGCTTTGCAACAAGTGTGGATGCTACACGTATTCTACTGAAAAGTGCACAATGCCCAAGCATCTGATTATGCTGTACCAGCAATCTCAGGGACGCAAAGCACCTCAAGGTAAAAGATTTGGAGCCAACTTCAAACTTCATCCGGATAACGCAAAAGGAGCTGGTGGTTCGCACGATGTTCCTCCTGGACCGAGCAACGTCGTGGTTCCTTGTCTGCCTGAGGATACTGCTGAAATGGAGAACACGTTGATTGAGTTCACCGCAAACAACGTGTTTGGCGACTTCGACTAGTCCCTGAATCTCCTTAGTGATCTACTTAATTATGTCCATTTGTGATGATTGTAATAAGAACATAAGTTTGTTGTTGTCTTTATACTGTATTGTATCAGCACATTTGATATAATAAATTATATTCTATATATTACTATGAGGTTTTTCTTATTGAAAATTCTTTGTTTTATATAGTTTTCTAAGGGGGCAATCCAATGAAAGAGGATTTATGCCTTGTGGACAGTGGTACCACAAACTCCATACTGAGGGAGATGAAATATTTTCAAACTTTGAAAAAGATGAATGGAGATATTCTAACCATCGCTGGACGCAATACAATGATTGTTGGTACTGGACGTGCCATATTCACCCTCCCAAGTGGTACACAAGTGACAATTGAGGATGCTTTATTGTATCCCGATTCTTTACGTACCCTGATCAGTTATCTCGATATCTGTAAAAATGGTTTTCACATTGAAACCCATGAAGACAACAAAGAGGAGTATCTACTCTTTACCAAAGACCACGGATATGGCAAAAAGGTACATGAGAAAAATTCCTTCTCTATCGTCTGATTTGTACTATACGTACATCAAACCCGTAGAATATGTTGCATACAAAGTAATTTTTCAGAATGTTAACGCATTCCAAACCTAGCATGATCGCGTAGGCCATCCCGGGATAGGGATGATGAGAAAAATTACTAGCAATTCCATTGGTCATAATTTGCTTGAGTCAAAATTTCCTCAATCTTCTGATTTTGTGTGCACATCTTGTGCCACGTGAAAGCTAATTTTGGGGCCCTCGCACCTCAAAATACAAGCTAAACCACTTCAGTTCCTACGTATTCAAGGAGACATTTGTGGTCCCATTCAGCCATTATCTGGACCTTTCCGGTGTTTCATGGTTCTGACTGACGCATCTACACGATGGTCACATGTGTGTCTTCTATCCACACGAAACCATGCATTTGCCAAGATAATGAGGCAAGTCATTAAGTTGCAAGCCCATTATCCTAAAAGTCGAATTAAGTTAATTTGAATGGACGATGCTACAGAATTCTCCTCACGTGCTTTCAATGATTATTGCATGGCTTTGGGGATTGAAGTTCAACACTCTGTTCCATATGTCCATACACAAAATGGTTCGGCCGAAGCATTGATTAAGAGGATCAAACTCATTGCAAGACCTTTGTTGACAAATTGCAACTTGCCAACCTGTTGTTGGGGTCACGCTGTTTTACACGCTGCTGACTTGATACAATTGAGGCCAACTGCATATCACAGTTCTTCCCCTCTAGAATTGGTACGTGGAAATCCTCCAAGCATTTCCCATCTGCGCAAGTTCAGATGTGCTGCATACATCCTGATCTCACCACCACAGTGTACATCTATGGGCCAACACAGGAAGTTGGGGATCTATGTGGGGTACAAATCGCCGTCGATTATCAAGTACCTGGAACCCCTAACCGGGGATCTGTTCACAGCCCGTCACGCTGATTGCATATTTAATGAGGAACATTTGCCGGCATTAGGGGGAGATCTCAAGTAACAGCAAGAATACCGGGAAATTGATTGGAATGCTCATGCCATTTCATCCTCTGATCCACGTACCCATGAGACCGAACTTCAAGTTCGGAAGATCATTAATTTGCAACATCTTGCAAATAACCTGCCAGATTCATTTACAGATCTGAAAGGTGTTACAAAATCCTTAAATCCGGCCAGAAACGCGCCAGAAAGAGTGGAGGTACCAATAAAAACCACTCAACTTCCTATTCCTAAAAAGAGGGGGAGTAGTACGGTCTCTGACCTGGAGCATGCTTCTAGCAAGCATCAAAGGAAATCGAGGAGAAAAACCTCGGAGTCAGTAAATCCAGGTCAACTCAACGTTGACAAACACCTGATGTGTAGTATACACCCAGTGGAAGGGCAACCTCCACAATCTAGCTGCAGTGTACACAAACTGATTGGGACATCGGAACACCCAGACTCAATCGTATTGGGAAATCACGAAGAGTCACTAGGGGTGCTGAAAATTTCCATCAATTATGTTGATTCTGGAGAATCATTTGGCCGTAAGACTACGATTGTCGACATATATTTTGCTGAAAAGATTGATTTCACTGAAACATATTCTCCGGTAATGAGTGCAACCACTTTTCGATATCTTATATCATTGGTAGTGCAAAATCGTCTATCTATGCAGTTGATGGATGTCGTGACCGCATATCTTTATGGCTCACTAGATTCAGACATATATAGGAAGGTTCCTGACGGGATCTCTGTCCCGAATGAAAGTGCAAAACGCAACATGTATTGTGTAAAGCTGAATAAGTCATTATATGGCTTAAGGCAGTCAGGACGGATGTGGTACAACCGACTGAGTGAGTTCCTTCTTCATAAAGGTTACTCCAATAGTGTTGATTGCCCATGTGTCTTCATCAAAAAGTCCTCTACATGATTTTGCATCATTTCTGTGTATGTTGATTATCTCAACATCATCGGCAACACACCAGACATTGATGAAGCACGCAATCACCTAAAGATGGAATTTGAGATGAAGGATTTGGGTAAAACCAAATTTTGCTTAGGTATTCAACTTGAGCACCTTCCCTCGGGAATCATGGTACACCAATCTGCCTATATCCAGAAAATATTGGAGAAATTAAATATGGACAAATCCTATCCAACTAGAACTCCCATGGTGGTTCGATCTCTAGACGTAGAGAAAGATCCGTTCAGACCAAGGGATGATGGAGAAGAGGTGTTGGGACCTGAAGTTCCATACCTCAGTGCCGTTGGAGCGCTTATGTATCTTGCAAATTGCACAAGACTTGATATTGCATTAGTAGTGAATCTACTTGCTAGACATAGTGCAACTCCCACCAAACATCACTGGTCTAGAGTGAAGAATATCTTTAGATATCTCCAAGGCACAAAGGATTTTGGCCCAATTTTCTAGTTCCAGAAAAATCAGGACTCCGATATGATTGGATATGCAGATGCTGGCTATTTGTCTGATCCCCATAATGCCAGATCACAGACCGGTTTCGTGTTCCTACATGGTGGCACTCCTATATCATGGAAGTCTTCGGAACAGACTCTGGTGGCAACTTCTACCAATCATTTTGAAATAATTTCATTATTTGAAGCAAGATGCGAATGTGTATGGCTTCACAGAATGATAAACCACATACAATAGTCATGTGGAATTGGTTCGATAGAATCACCAACCATTATCTATGAAGATAATACGACCTGTGTTGCACAGATGCAAACATGATACATCAAGAGTAATATCACTAAGCATATTTCTCCTAAGTGGTCCCCCCCCCCATGATCTTCAGCAAAGCAGGGAAATAAACGTCTTGGGAATTAAATCATGCGAAAATCTTGCTGATTTATTTACCAAGTCTCTACCAAATTCTACATTCCAGAAATATGTTCATGGAATTGGTATGCGACGACTTCGGGACTTGCAACCGTCAGGGGGAGTCTCTTCTTGAGACATTCTTGTTCAAACATCACATTACACTATCTTTCTTTGTGAGTATATGTTTCAGGATCTCATCAAAAAATTTATGAAGAACTTTGAAGGAGAATCTTTTGAGATGATAGAGCTTCCCGGAGAATTGTGAAGATGATTCTACACGGTCAAGCCTAGGTTAGGGGGAGTGTCAAAACTAATTATGTAATTAGGGGGAAAATCTCCCCTTGCCCCGAATGGCCGTACGGTTGCTCTCACAACCGACACCTCTCTCCCGTCTGCCTGGAACCGACGCATCCCTCCCAGGATCGTCGCGTCTCTCTGGGGATATATAAGCTTTCTGTAACCATCATCAAGGCAATCGATCATTGTTTGATTCAAAACAAAAAGTTCAATGGTTGCATGGGTGCTTGATGATGTGGATACCTTGCATGTATATTTAAATGGGAGGTGGCATGTGTGGGGACAAATGTAATGAGGTGGA